GGCCGGGTGAGGGCCGTGGGGGAAAGCCCCGCCCCGGGCACGCCCCGCCCGCCCCGGGGTGGCCACGCCCCCTGGGATGGCCCCGCCCGTGGGATGACCACGTTCCCTGGATGCCCCCGCCCGTGGGATGGCCCCGCCCCCTGGATGGCCCGGCCTCTGGGAGGGCCCGCCCCCTGTGGGTGGTCTCGGGGTGGGGCCGACAGTCTTCCCATACCAAGAGCAAAGGGAACTATGGGCAGAGAGTTCGGGGTGAGGTCCGCTAGGATGATTTTGTCCTTTTGGGGACAGGTTTTACAAATGGAGGCGAGGAACCGGTCACAAAAGTTGTGATTCTCCAAGGTCACTAGTGAAGGACTAGGATTAGGTTGCCAGGCACTCTCACTCTGTAGCCAGAGCCCTTCCCTCCCAACAGAGCTGCTAATTGCGATGTTAATATATCACACTTAGAGAAGTCCATTTGGATAGCATCTGTGGTTTACAAAACTTTTTTGCACAGAACATTCTTGTTTATTTATTTTTAAGAGCTTTCTGCATTAGGGCATATGTGCTCCAAGGAGAGAGAGACAGAAATAGTGAAAGGGAGAAATCACCACCCCATCCAGGGGGAATGGCCACACTGCAACCCCTTCTCCATTTTCCTCATGAGATCTTGGTCATGCATGTACACTCCCGCGGCATGATTTTCAAACCTCTTGATCCGGGACTCGAACTGTAGTCAGTCATGTGGGAGTCCAGTAGCATAACCACTACACCATCTGCTGGCCCTGACTCAGGACATTCTTGTTTAAGTTAGTCTGAGTGACAACCCCATGAAAAGGGTGGGTTTTTAAAATTCCCATTAAAGCCAGGAAAATTGAAGAAGGAACAAATTTTTCTTTCTTTTGCTAGAGAGACAGAAAAAAGAGGACGAGGAGAAAGCACCCCCTAAGAGAAATGGTCAGACTGCAGTCCCTTCTCCATTTCTCCCTCCTTTCAGGATGCTCACATAAACACACCTCGTGTGGTTCTCGTCAGTCACACAGTCATTTGGGATTCAGCTGCCTTACCCACCAGGCCACAGAGCCAGCCCTATTTTATATATATAAAATTTTAAAAATTCTTGCTATGGGGTGCATGCACTCACCAGAGACATTGAGAAAGGGAGAGGGAGAGAGAGAGAGGCAAAATGAGAAATCACTCCCCCAACTCAGGGAGAAATGGCTACGATCCAATTCCTTCTCCTCCAGTCTCCTCTCAGGATTTTGGGCATGGATGCACCCCCAGCACGTTTTTCAAGCCGCCAGGTCCAACCACCCAGTCAGCCAGGTGGGATCCAGCCATCTAGCCACTATGCCACCTGCGGTCCTCTATACTGTTTGTTTTAGGGTTTTGCTATAGGGTGCGTGTGCTCACCAGAGAAAGAGAGAGGAAAAGTGAGAAATCATTCCCCACAGGACGGCCACGCTACAATTCCTTCTCTTTCATTCTCCTCTTGGGATTTTGGATGTGCACAGATGTGAACTTGGCATGACTTTCAAGCCCCTAGGTCTAGGACTTCAACTGCGGAGCCGGCCATAATCACCACACCATCTACTGGCCCCTATTTATTAATTTTTAAATGCAAGAGAGAATCCTAGCACGTAAGCACATATCCCCTCCTCCTGCCCCCAACAGGCCCTGCTTATGCTATAATTCTTTTTCCTTCATTTCTCTAGCCGGTCAGAATCCTGGACAAGTGGGGCCAGAATTCAAACCAGGTTGGGCCGTTTGGAATCTGGCTTCCTTGGCAGATCAGTGCTTAACCATTACACACAGGGCCAGCTCAGGACACAAACATTTATTGGACATTTTTGTACATTTGGCACTGTT